CTAGTCTCATCTGAGTTCCAGATCTATGCCTCCATCCTGGTCTCACCTGAGTTCCAGATCTGTGCCTCCATCCTCGTCTCACCTGAGCTCTAGATCTCTGCCTCTTATCCTTGTCTTACCTGAGTTCCAGATATCTACTGCCACCCTGGTCTCACCTGAGTACCAGATCTCTGCCTCCATTCCTGATCTCACCTGATTTCCAGACCTCTGCCTCCAATTCCAGTCTCACCTGAGTTCCAGATTTCTGCCTGCATTTATGGTCTCATGTGAGCTCCAGATCTCTGCCTCCATCCTGGGCTCACCTGAGATCTAGTTGTCTGCCTCTATCCTGGGCTCACTTTAGCTCTAGATCACTGCCTCTATCGTGGTCTCACCTGAGCTCCAAATCTCTGCCTCTATTCCCAGTCTCACCTAAGTTTCAGATCTCTGCCTCCATTCCCAGTCTCACCTGAGATCTAGATATCTACCTCCATTACTAGTCTCACCTGAGCTTCAGATCTCAGTCTCTAATCCCGGTCTCACCTGAGCTCCAGATCTCTGCCTTCATTCAAAGTCTCACCTGAGTTCCAGACCTCTGCCTCGATTCCCTGTCTTACCTGAGTTCAAGATCTCTGCCTCCAATTCTGGTCTTTCCTGAGCTCCAGATCTCTGCCTGAATTTCTGATCTCACCTGAGTTCCAGATCTCTGCCTCCATTCCCGGTCTCACCTGCGTTCCAGATCTCTGCCTCCATTCCCAGTCTCACCTGAGCTCCAGATCTCTACCTCCACCATGGTCTAACCTGAGTTCCAGATCTCTGCCTCCATTCCTGGTCTCACCTGATCTCCAAACCTCTGCCTCCAATTCCAGTTTCGCCTGAGTTCCAGATCTGTGCCTGCATTTCTGGTCTCATCTGAGCTCCATATCTCTGTCTCCATCCTGGGCTCACCTGAGCTCTAGATCACTGCCTCTATTGTGGTCTCATCTGAGCTCTAAATCTCTGTCTCCATTCCCAGTCTCACCTGAGTTTCAGATCTCTGCCTCCATTACTAGTCTCACCTGAGCTTCAGATCTCTGTCTCTAACCCCGGTCTCACCTGAGCTCCAGATCTCTGCCTCCATTCAAAGTCTCACCTGAGTTCCAGACCTCTGCCTCCAATCCCAGTCTCACCTGATCTCCAAACCTCTGCCTCCAATTCCAGTTTCACCTGAGTTCCAGATCTCTGCCTGCATTTATGGTCTCACGTGAGCTCCAGATCTCTGCCTCCATCCTGGGCTCACCTGAGCTCTAGATCACCGCCTCTATCGTGGTCTTACCTGAGTTTCAGATCTCTGCCTCCATTCCCAGTCTCACCTGAGATCTAGATCTCTACCTCCATTACTAGTCTCACCCGAGCTTCAGATCTCAGTCTCTAATCCCGGTCTCACCTGAGCTGCAGATCTCTGCCTCCATTCAAACTCTCACCTGAGTTCCAGACCTCTGCCTCGATTCCCTGTCTTACCTGAATTCAAGATCTCTGCCTCCAATTCTGGTCTTACCTGAGCTCCAGATCTCTGCCTGCATTTCTGGTCTCACCTGAGTTCCAGATCTCTGCCTCCAATCCTGGTCTCACCTGAGTTCCAGATCTCTGCCTTCATCCTGGTCTCACCTGAGTTTCAAATCTCTTCCTCCATTCCCAGTCTCACCTGAGTTCTAGATCTCTACCTCCACCCTGGTCTAACCTGAGTTCCAGATCTCTGCCTCCATTCCTGGTCTCATCTGATCTCCAGATCTCTGTCTCCATCCTGGGCTCACCCGAGCTCTAGTTCTCTGCCTCTATCCTGGGCTCACCTGAGCTCTAGATCACTGCCTCTATTGTGGTCTCATCTCAGCTCTAAATCTCTGTCTCCATTCCCAGTCTCATCTGAGTTTCAGATCTCTGCCTCCGTTACTAGTCTCACTTGAGCTTCAGATCTCTGTCTCTAATCCCGGTCTCACCTGAGCTCCAGATCTCTGCCTCCATTCAAAGTCTCACCTAAGTTCCAGACCTCTGCCTCGATTCCCTGTCTCACCTGAGTTCCAGATCTCTGCCTCCATTCCCAGTCTCACCTGGGTTCCAGATCTCTGCCTTCAATCCCGTTCTCACCTGAGCTCCAGATCTGTATGTACAGTTACAGTTTGGCACATACCAACATATACGTGTTCTGCCATGTAGCGTGTTCATGTTAATCCCATAGATATAATTAGATTGTAAACTTGTTAGAGCAGGGCCTTCTTTATCTCCGGTAATATTTGTGTCAGTTTTCTCTATTCTATAATGTACAGCGCTGTGGAATGTGTTGGTACTATATAAATAATAATGTTAGGAAGGTTTACGTGAGATATCAAGCCGGCTATTAACTGCCATAAACTCTGCCCATTTCTGGTTGGGCCAATTTAGCTGATACCACTACACAAAGCCACTGTGACAGCGGTTGTCCCCACAGGACATGAATCCCATATAACACAGCATCTCGGCACCGCTCTGAACCTAGTTCCATTATAGATTTCTTACATCACCTGGGGGTTATTTACTAAACGCTGAGTTGCAGCCAAATTAAAATGCTTATGAGAAAAATAGCAGATTTTGAACATTTCTCCTCTATTGCCACAGCTTCGCCATTTTAGCCTACATTTTGGCATTCTATATCTAGTGAATAAGCGTCTTTGTCTCCCCCTCCAGCTAGGGGCCACTTTCCTGGAGGTTCTCTACAACTCTTGTAGTATTGGACCTTTCCCAGAGCCCCTGTGCATCCCACGTGCCCGACCACCCTTTCAAAACGCAGCAATGAGTGTGAATACCGAAACATACAACCAGAAATTCCCACTAATCCCCGTCACCATCTAGCACAGCAAAACCGGCCCCACTGTAAGAACCAACTAATGTCGGCAAAAGCAGTAACTTCTTCCATCGAGTCTAGATGTGTCGTCTTCTTCTCACCGATCGTCCATAGCCCTATGTGTTGCATACAGCAGTGCCCGCGCTAGAGAGCTTACATAGAAACATAGAATGTGACGGCAGATAAGAACCATTCGGCCCATCTAGTTTGCCCAATTTTCTAAACACTTTCATTAGTCCCTTGCCTTATCTTATAGTTAGGATAGCCTTATGCCTATCCCACGCATGCTTAAACTCCTTTACTGTGTTAACCTCTACCACTTCAGCTGGAAGGCTATTCCATGCATCCACTACCCTCTCAGTAAAGTAATACTTCCTGATATTATTTTTAAACCTTTGTCCCGCTAATTTAAGACTATGTCCTCTTGTTGTGGTAGTTTTTCTTCTTTTAAGTTCAGATAAGTATACCATCCTTTAGCTTCACCCAAACCCACTCAAATCAAGGAGGTGATGTCACCGTGGACAGTGACAGAGTTGATTTAAACAGAACCTGTCATGACCTGACCCTCCGTTCCCACGCCGCGTTCTCCTTCTGCCTCACCCACCGCCGGTCCGCCCTCGCTCCGTCTAATCTCCTCATTGATTTATTTGTGGACACCTCCCCAATCAGGGCAAACCTTCTCCATGATGCTCCATCCTGGTTTTATTGCCAGAGTGCCGGTCTGAATGTAGGGACGTCACTCCATCACTATACTCCTAAGCCAGGAATACCAGCATTGGAGAGCAGAAGGACTGCCTGTAGGATGTCCATTCTGTCCTCACTGTCAATCAATAATTCTGCATGGAGTCTGTGCCGAAGAATCGATTGACAGCTGGGAGAAAGACCTATTTGTAAAATTATTGTCTCCCAGTTGCTGGAAAAACTGCCTGCACAATGTATGGATGACATTTGATACCCTTTAAAAAGAGCAAAATGAAACTTTTTGGCCATGATTGACAAGTTCCACTTAATAAACTACTGTTATAGCTGTGATTCCAGAGAAAACCACTGGAGGGAGACTGTGAGCAAAGCTTTGATTTAAAGGGACACTATAGTCATAAAAACAACTTTAGCTTAATGAAGCAGTTTTAAATAATTGTATCTCAATCTCTAAATTGAACTTTAATCACATACAGGAGGCTCTTGCAGGGTCTAGCATGCTATTAACATAGCAGGGGATAAGAAAATCTTAATTAAACAGAACTTGCAATAAAAGCCTAAATAGGGCTCTCTTTACAGGAAGTGTTTATGGAAGGCTGTGCAAGTCACATGCAGGGAGGTGTGACTAGGGTTCATAAACAAAGGGATTTAACTCCTAAATGGCAGAGGATTGAGCAGTGAGGCTGCAGGGTCATGTTCTATACACCAAAACTGCTTCATTAAGCTAAAGTTGTTCAGGTGACTATAGTGTCCCTTTAACTAAAGTTCCATTTACAGAGCAGGAGATTAAAACTTTTAAAGTAAGTTACATCTGATTGAAAATAAAACCATTTTGTTTTCATGCAGGCTGTGTCAGTCACAGACAGAGGAGGTGTGGCTAGAGCTGCATAAACCAAAACAAAAGTGACTTAACTCCTAAATGGCAGAGAATTGAGCATTGAAACTTCAGATGCATGACCTACACACAAACACTGCTTCAATCAGCTAAAGTTGTTTTGGTGACTATAGTGTCCCTTTAACACATTTACAGTCTTGGAAGTGGATCCACTATTACCTTTTCTAAAGCTCTACCAGGTATAAAGTTGTGTCTCCTTACCTGTACTCAGTGCTCCTTTGCTGGTCACACGCCTGTCACATATGGAATTATTTATTTATTTATTCACACAATATTTTGCCAGGATGGATACATTGAGATTTCACTCGTTTTCAAGTATGTCCTGGGTAATTAATGTCAGTTTAGTTAAAAAGGAATAGTAGGTGATGCAATACGGAGGTAAAGATGTTTGTAATACAGAGATCAGGATGTGTGTTATTGTGTGATATAATACATACACCACGACCTGTGTTATTATGTGACAATACAGAGATCAGAATGGGTGTCATCGTGCGGTAGAGCGCAGACGTCAGGTTTGCATATTGCATTAAATACATTATATACTACTTATATCCATTAAAAAGACAGTCAAACATTAACCATTATCATTTATTGTAGAAAATATACTTTTCTGTGACAAGAAAAAAACTCCCGTGTTCTGCTCTGCATTTATATCCCAGCCCAGAATATTTCCAGATCAGTAGACTGTTCTTAAAGCCCAACTCACCATAGATCTAGATCAGTAGACTGAGCTCAAAGCCAAACTCAGAATGGATCTAGATCACTAGACTGAGCTCAAAGCCAAACTCAGAATGGATCTAGACCAGTAGACTGAGCTCAAAGCAAAACTCAGAATGGATCTAGATCAGTAGACTGAGCTCAAAACCAAACTCAGAATGGATCTAGATCAGTAGACTGACCTTAAAGCCAAACTCAGAATGGATCTAGACCAGTAGACTGAGCTCAAAGCCAAACTCAGAATGGATCTAAATCAGTGGACTGAGCTCAAATCCAAACTCATTAAAGATTAAAGGAAGGAAAAAAGGTCTCTATGGGATATCCAACTAATGAGGGCCTAACCCTAGTTTAAATGCAAAACATATTCCAAAGAAAGGGAACCAAAATCGTTGGATAACCCTTCTGTTAAAATTAGAGCATCGATCATTAATGTGAAAATCCCAAAATGACAACCTGAAATAATCTTAATTAATTAATGAATCATTAAGGATAAACGTGTTCATAGTGACATATTTTTATGGCAACTTGAATTATTTACTATACGTTTAGGTTAAGCTAGCCGTCAGTTTCTAGTGGCTGATAGTTACGTATTAGGCTAGGTTCCTGTTACAGACTATCTTGGCTAGCCCGAGTCTACTCCTATATAGGGATTCTAGCTATTAGGTTATTTATACATGATACATATATAACCTATTTCCAGTCACTGGGACAAAGGATTCGCCTAGATTAGTGTTTCAGTAACTTTTATCTCCTATCTATAAGGCAGCACAGATTCTTATCGAGCAGTCTATTAGAACGTTCAGCAATTTGGGGCAAGGATTTACAACAGACAGTTTACCAGGACTCTCTATTTTCCAGCTATTACGCAGCATAGACTTCTGCCGAGCAGTTTATTAGAACTCACCGTTCATCAGGGCAAGCATATATCCCGGCTAAGATAGAGGAACCCCGAGTCTATTTAGGAAACTAATTTGGGCATGGATATCATTTAATACTAAGGGATAATTGCTGGCTGCATAATCCCATTTGATTTTTTTTCAGCCTACTTATTGTTCAGAAAGCTTAATATCCTCTCTCTTTCTATAGCTTATCAGCACGGTCAGCTCTGTGTATCCAAATAGCTACCCCTTCAGCTAAGAGACATTCATTGTATCAGTTAACCCACAACCACGGCTTATATCCTGTTACTTAGTTAGTAGGGCGAGCGATTTTGATACACTATTTAAACCAGTCTTTGGTTTAGTAACTTCCTATCCATTACAGGTGGTCACTGGTAAAAACCCTGTTCTGTTAACCTTTTAACGAGGTGATATAGCTTAATGGCTTAACCTTACATTAGACATTTAGTAGACATACCCTCACTATTTATCCTAGCACTTAATAAAGGATTTTCCCTAATACTGGCATAGGTTTTTGGAAAGTATTGTCTCTGATTATTTCAGGTTGTCATTTTGGAATTTTCACATTAATGATCGATGCTCTAATTTTAACAGAAGGGTTATCCAACAATTTTGGTTCCGTTTCTTTGGAATATGTCAAAGCCAAACTCAGAATGGATCTAGATCACTAGACTGACCCTAAAGTCAAACTCGGAATGGATCTAGATCAGTAGACTGACCCTAAAGCCAAACTCAGAATGGATCTAGACCAGTAGACTGACCCTAAAGTCAAACTCAGAATGGATCTAGATCACTAGACTGATCCTAAAGCCAAACTCAGAATGGATCTAGATCACTAGACTGACCCTAAAGTCAAACTCGGAATGGATCTAGATCAGTAGACTGACCCTAAAGCCAAACTCAGAATGGATCTAGATCACTAGACTGACCCTAAAGTCAAACTCGGAATGGATCTAGATCAGTAGACTGACCCTAAAGCCAAACTCAGAATGGATCTAGACCAGTAGACTGACCCTAAAGCCAAACTCAGAATGTATCTAGATCACTAGACTGACCCTAAAGCCAAACTCAGAATGGATCTAGATCACTAGACTGACCCTAAAGCCAAACTCAGAATGGATCTAGACCAGTAGACTGACCCTAAAGTCAAACTCAGAATGGATCTAGATCACTAGACTGATCCTAAAGCCAAACTCAGAATGGATCTAGATCACTAGACTGACCCTAAAGTCAAACTCGGAATGGATCTAGATCAGTAGACTGACCCTAAAGCCAAACTCAGAATGGATCTAGACCAGTAGACTGACCCTAAAGCCAAACTCAGAATGGATCTAGATCAGTAGACTGATCCTAAAGCCAAACTCAGAATGGATCTAGATCACTAGATTGACCCTAAAGTCAAACTCGGAATGGATCTAGATCAGTAGACTGACCCTAAAGCCAAACTCAGAATGGATCTAGACCAGTAGACTGACCCTAAAGCCAAACTCAGAATGGATCTAGATCAGTAGACTGACCCTAAAGCCAAACTCAGAATGGATCTAGATCAGGGAACTGAGCTCAAAGCCAAACTCAGAATGGATCTAGATCAGTAGACTGACCCTAAAGCCATACTCAGAATGGATCTAGACCAGTAGACTGAGCTCAAAGCCAAACTCAGAATGGATCTAGATCAGTAGACTGAGCTCAAAGCCAAACTCAGAATGGATATAAAATTGCAGGCTGTATTTATACTCAGCTCTGAATGGGTCTAGACTAGATGAGTAGACTGGGGATATATCTAGACTAATAGACTGACCTTAAACACCAATTAAAAATGGATCAAACTGATGGACAGCTTAAATCCTAGCTCAGAAGGAATTTAGAATTGCAGGCTGCAATTCTTCCCAGTGCAGATATGATCTAGATCAGAAAAATATACTTAGACCCCAGGACAGAACAGATCTATACCAGCAGACTGACAAACTCCAGTTCATAATGGAAGGTGAACAGCAGAATTAACCCCAAAAAGCTGCACTTAAACCACAGCTCATAATGGATCAAAAAGACGACCACCTGTGATTAAACCTAAGCCAGAATGGACCTAGACCACCAGGCTTTGATTAAACCTCAGCTCAGAATGGACCTAGACCACCAGGCTGTGATTAAACCTCAGCTCAGAATGTATCTAGACCACCAGGCTGTGCTTAAACCTCAGCTCAGAATGGACCTAGACCACTAGGCTGTGCTTAAACCTCAGCTCAGAATGTATCTAGACCACCAGGCTGTGCTTAAACTTTAGCTCATAATGGACCTAGACCACTAGGCTGTGCTTAAACCTCAGCTCAGAATGGATCTTGACCACCAGGCTGTGCTTAAACTTTAGCTCATAATAGATCTAGACCACCAGGCTGTGCTTAAACCTTAGCTTGGAATGGACCTAGACCAGTAGGTTGTGATTAAATCTCAGCTCAGAATGGATCTAGATCACCAGGCTGTTCTTAAACCTCAGCTCAGAATGGATGTGCTTAAACCTCAGCTCAGAATGGATCTTGACCACCAGGCTGTGCTTTTAAACCCCAGCACAGAATGGATCTAGATCTGGAGACCATGCTTAAACCCCAACACAGAATGGATCTAAGCCATAAGACTGTGCTTGAACTCGTAGGCCACTTTCAGCCGAGGCTTGCCCTGGGGCTGGGTCCAGTGCTGGAACAGAGATTGCAGGTGGTGAGATGGACTGAAACCACTCACGTGGACGGATACCGAGGCCACCTAGAGAGACACCAGGAGAGAGAGACCCATGGGATAGAAACCCATGGGCAGGATGAGAGAGAGCGACAAAGTGATTGAAACAAAGGTGGAGAGTTTGCAAATGGCAGCGGTAGGATAGCAGCACAATGGAAGGAAACAGGTGGTAGGTAGAATTATTTTCAAAATGAGAGAATAATGAAAGAGACACAATGAGAAAAAAAAGAGAAAAAAATTTATTATTCCTGCAAACTAAACAAGAATACACTCATATAAAGACACATCTATCATTTTTTGGGTGGAACAAGGAAATAGTGGACCCTGACAAGGTGCAGTAATAATTCTGAGGTACAAGCAAAATAATGATAGTACTTTATAGATCTCTGGTAAGATTAGGCAGAAATGAGAAAAGGAAAGTAAAACAAGGATTAGTTAGATTAAAAACAAAAGAAGGAAGGTATGTAGAAGAGGATAAAGGTCTAGCTGACTGCCTCAATTAATATTTTTGTTCTGTATTTACAGATGAAAATGAAGGAAAGGGGCCTCAGTTAGGAAAAAGGACAAATGAGTCATTTATTACACGTGAGTTTACAGAGGAAGAGGTTCTATTTCAACTCTCAAAAGTAAAGACAAATAAGTCAATGGGACCTGATGGAATACACCCAAAGCTATTAAAAGAGCTTAGTGGTGTACTAGCAAAACCATTAACAGATTTATTTAACCAATCATTGTTAACAGGAGTAGTCCCAGAAGATTGGAAGTTAGCGAATGTTGTGCCCATTCACAAGAAAGGTAATAGGGAGGAGTCGGGCAACTATAGGCCGGTAAGCCTTACTTCAATAGTGGGGAAAGTGATGGAAACCATGTTAAAGGATAGGATTGTTGAAGATCTAAAAATACATGGATTTCAAGATCAGAGACAACATTGGTCTACCTCAGGGAGATCATGCCAAACTAATCTTATTGATTTTTTTGAGTGGGTAACTAAAATAATAGATCAGGGTGGTGCAGTAGACATTGCTTACCTAGATTTCAGTAAGGCTTTTGACACTGTTGCACATAGAAGGCTTATCAATAAACTGCAATCTTTAAGTTTGGATTCCAATATTGTTGAATGGGTAAGGCAGTGGCTGAGTGACAGGCAACAGAGGGTTGTAGTTAATGGAATATATTCGAAGCTTGGGCTTGTCACCAGTGGGGTACCTCAGGGATCTGTACCTGGGCCCATTCTATTGTTTAATATTTTATATATTTATATTACAGAAGGTCTTGATGGTAAGGTATGTCTTTTTGCTGATGATACTAAGATATGTAACAGGGTTGATATTCCAGGAGGGATAAGCCAAATTACAAATGAATTAGGTAAACTAGAAAAATGGTCAGAGTTGTGGCAACTGACATTTAATGTGGATAAGTGCAAGATAATGCATCTTGGACGTAAAAACCCAAGGGCAGAGTACAGAATATTTGATAGAGTCCTAACCTCAAAATCTGAGGAAAGGGATTTAGGGGTCATTATTTCTGATGACTTAAAGGTAGGCAGACAATGTAATAGAGCAGCAGGAAATGCTAGCAGAATGCTTGATTGTATAGGGAGAGGTATTAGCAGTAGAAAGAGGGAAGTGCTCATGCCATTGTACAGAACACTGGTGAGACCTCACTTGGAGTATTGTACACAGTACTGGAGACCATATCTTCAGCTACTAAACTGAACACAATACTCTAGGTGAGATCTTACCGGGATCTATAAAGTACTATCTCTACCTCTCTATGTTCCTGGGATTTCTATAGAAATCTGAACCTATACTCAGGTGAGGTCTTACCGGGTATCTATAAAGTACTATCACTACCTCTCTATGTCCTCCAGTGATCTGTTCTATAGAACTGAACACAATACTCTAGGTGAGATCTTACCGGGGATCTATAAAGTACTATCACTACCTCTCTATGTCCTCCTGGGATCTGCTCTATAGAACTGAACACAATACTCTAGGTGAGATCTTACTGGGGATCTATAAAGTATTATCACTACCTCTCTATGTCCTCCTGGGATCTGCTCTATAGACCTGAACACAATACTCTAGGTGAGATCTTACCGGGGATCTATAAAGTACTATCACTACCTCTCTATGTCCTGGGATCTGCTCTATAGAACTGAACACAATACTCTAGGTGAGATCTTACCGGGATCTATAAAGTACTATCACTACCTCTCTATGTCCTGGGATCTGCTCTATAGAACTGAACACAATACTCTAGGTGAGGTCTTACCGGGATCTATAAAGTACTATCACTACCTCTCTATGTCCTCCTGGGATCTGCTCTATAGAACTGAACACAATACTCTAGGTGAGATCTTACTGGGGATCTATAAAGTACTATCACTACCTCTCTATGTCCTCCTGGGATCTGCTCTATAGACCTGAACACAATACTCTAGGTGAGATCTTACCGGGGATCTATAAAGTACTATCACTACCTCTCTATGTCCTGGGATCTGCTCTATAGAACTGAACACAATACTCTAGGTGAGATCTTACTGGGATCTATAAAGTACTATCACTATGTCCTCTTGGGATCTGCTCTATAGAACTGAACACAATACTCTAGCTGAGCTCTTACCAGGGATCTTTAAAGTGCTATCATTACCTCTCTATGTCCTCGGATCTGCTCTATAGAACTGAACACAATACTCTAGGTGAGAATCTATAAAGTACTATCACTACCTCTCTATAGCCTGGGAGCTCTATAGAACTGAACACAATACTCTAGGAGATCTTACCGGGTGATCTATAAAGTGCTATCACTACCTCTCTATGTCCTCCTGGGATCTGCTCTATAGAACTGAACACAATACTCTAGGTGAGATCTTACCGGGGATCTATAAAGTACTATCACTACCTCTCTATGTCCTGGATCTGCTCTATAGAACTGAACACAATACTCTAGGTGAGATCTTACCAGGGATCTATAAAGTACTATCACTACCTCTCTATGTCCTGGGATCTGCTCTATAGAACTGAACACAATACTCTAGGTGAGATCTTACCAGGGATCTATAAAGTCCTCCCTGGGACTCCTTACCTCTATAAAGAATCTGCTCTATAGAACTGAACACAATACTCTAGGTGAGATCTTACCTCTATAAAGTACTATCACTACCTCTCTATGTCCTCCTGGGATCTGCTCTATAGAACTGAACACAATACTCTAGGTGAGATCTTACCGGGGATCTATAAAGTACTATCACTACCTCTCTATGTCCTCCTGGGATCTGCTCTATAGAACTGACTCAGCTCTAGGTGAGATCTTACTCGAGGGATCTATAAAGTACTATCACTATGTCCTCCTGGGATCTGCTCTATAGAACTGAACACAATACTCCTTACCGGGGGATGTGGGATCTGCTCTATAGAACTGAACACAATACTCTAGGTGAGATCTTACCGGGGATCTATAAAGTACTATCACTACCTCTCTATGTCCCTGATCTGCTCGGGGGTGAACTTAAGGTGAGATCTTACCGGGAGTACTATCAAAGGATCTGCTCTATAGAACTGAACACAATACTCCTTCTCTATGTCTCTCCTGGGATCTGCTCTATAGAACTGAACACAATACTCTAGAGTGGGACCTCTCTATAATAGAACTGAACACAATACTCTAGGTGAGATCTTACCCTTATCTATACCTGCTCTATAGTACCTCCTGGGGTGGGATCTGCTCTATAGAACTGAACACAATACTCTAGGTGAGATCTTACCGGGATCTATAAAGTACTATCACTACCTCTCTATGTCCTGGGATCTGCTCTATAGAACTAAACACAATACTCTAGGTGAGATCTTACCTAGGATCTATAAAGTACTATAACTACCTCTCTATGTCCTCCTGGGATCTGCTCTATAGAACTGAACACAATACTCTAGGTGAGATCTTACCGGGGATCTATAAAGTACTATCACATCCTCTCGATGTCATGGGATCTGCTCTATAGAACTGAACACAATACTCTAGGTGAGATCTTACCGGGGATCTATAAAGTACCATCACTACCTCTCTATGTCCTCCTGGGATCTGCTCTATAGAACTGAACACAATACTCTAGGTGAGATCTTACCGGGATCTATAAAGTGCTATCACTACCTCTCTATGTCCTGGGATCTGCTCTATAGAACGGAACACAATACTCTAGGTGAGATCTTACCAGGGTATAAAGTACTACCTCTCTACTACCTCTCTATGTCCTCCTGGGATCTGATCTGCTCTATAGAACTGAACACAATACTCTAGGTGACTGACTCTTACCGGGATCTATAAAGTACTATCACTACCTCTCGATGTCATGGGATCTGCTCTATAGAACTGAACACAATACTCTAGGTGAGATCTTACCGGGGATCTATAAAGTGCTATCACTACCTCTCTATGTCCTCCTGGGATCTGCTCTATAGAACTGAACACAATACTCTAGGTGAGATCTTACCGGGGACCTATAAAGTGCTATCACTACCTCTCTATGTCCTGGGATCTGCTCTATAGAACTAAACACAATACTCTAGGTGAGATCTTACCGGGATCTATAAAGTACTATAACTACCTCTCTATGTCCTCCTGGGATCTGCTCTATAGAACTGAACACAATACTCTAGGTGAGATCTTACCAGGGATCTATAAAGTACTATCACTACCTCTCTATGTCCACCTGGGATCTGCTCTGTAGAACTGAACACAATACTCTAGGTGAGATCTTACCGGGGATCTATAAAGTACTATCATTACCTCTCTATGTCATCCTGGGATCTGCTCTATAGAACTGAACACAATACTCTAGGTGAGATCTTACCGGGGATCTATAAAGTACTATCACTACCTCTCTATGTCCTGGGATCTGCTCTATAGAACTGAACACAATACTCTAGGTGAGATCTTACCAGGGATATATTATGTGCTGTTATTGTTTTTTTGGTGACCCACAGATGTACATTGAATAAATTCTCACCTTCATTAGCTTTAGCTCGGCTTCCTTCCCCATGCTCAGTTTGTGGGGTGGCTGTTTTTCTCTGAGTGCTGGAGATGTGACAGGGAACTTGTTCTTGTGAGCAGGAAGCTGTAAAAATATGAGACATGAATCAAAGTATACCCATTTCAGGTTTCTTCGTACTTCTAGTCTGATCATAGAGACCATTCTTGGAACAACACCGAAACCATTGCTGTCCCCTTAGAAGAACATTTTCAAGTCAGTTGTTTATCAGATAAACCCTAAAGGTTTTGCTAAAATGTACGCTTTCTCCAAACTTTATATATTTTTTTTTATTGCAATCCTTTTAACTGATCTCCACACCTCCCTCCAATTGATTTGCACCCATTTCCACTGAGCAGTGATCTCATTTCCCACGGTCACCTTATCATTAGGGTCGATGTGAAGAGATGAGAGGTAGGAATTGTGAAGTTTGGATCCTTCCCATTTACACTGACGATTGGGATGTGTCCGTCGGTCACACACTGCCCCCCAGAGGCACGTCGCTGACCTGCACAATGATAATCAATAGAGCATGAAGAAATGAGGCCGTACATTTATTGCCAACCTGTCCTACTATGATCAGACTAAATATCTGATTTATTTTACAATTGCTGGAAATTTAATATTTAGTGAAATGGAAAAATTCTCCAGCTCAGCTACACTTCTAGTATAAATTAAAATTAACATATTCACATCACTCTATATATTCAAGCCATACGTATGGACCAAAAATTTGATTTCAGTAAAATGTTGTTTATTAAATGTATTACTATACATAGGATCTTTGAGTACATGTATATGTTATAGAGTCTAGACAGACAGATAGATAGATAGACAGGTAGACAGACAGGTAGATAGATTGATAATTAGATAGATATATAGATAGATAGGTAGATTAGATCATGATTGATAGATATATAATTAGATAGATAATGGGTAGATAGATAGATAGATAGATAGATACCAAAGACGTGGATTATTAGGGTGATAAGGTGATGAACAAGAAAGGATTTCACAGAATTTTCTTTGTTTAGTTGAATGCTAGATTTGAGCATGGGATAAGAATTAGACTTGTCTGAAAAAAATGTTTCAGGCAATTTGGGATTGTCCATGTTTTGATCCAGACAAATCTCATCCATGCCATCGTTTAGGGAAAACCGATTCACACGAACCAAGAGTGCGCACAGTCAGTGAACGGCAGGATATAAATATTATGTGTCTATTTTACAGCACAATAATAGGAGTATTTTCCCACCATTTGGTTTACAGATCAAATGAGAAGACAACCAACATAGGGAAAAGGAGGAAAAAGGGGAAAAAAATAAAATCATCTTTATTTCTATATTATATATTAATTGAATATATAAATATCATATTTAGTTACTGCTCCTCCCTTCCCCCTTTTTGTGCTCCTCACTCAGCCGTCAATCAATTTATTTTTCCATCAATAACTATTTTTGTTGGAGCCGCAGACTCGCAAACATACTAAACGTTGTCCATTGTCTGTTTCGCTTGTTAGTGATTCCTCCCTATAGCGTTTCGGAGTTTGGGATTTCAGGTTATCATCAATCTCCCAAACTCCGGACGTATCGCGAGTCGTTTGAAACAGAATGCACAGGTCTATCGAATACTGATTGATTTATATAAATTGTGATACAGGATGATCAATTATCAGGGAAGAAGATTTATTCCTGTAAATGGAGCTCATTCATAGAACCCGTCAACTGAAATGTTCTTAGATAAAAACAGATTAACGCTATCTTCTCTGCTAATTCATTTTATTTTTACCCAGATAATTTGTAGCATGTTGTCATGAAATTCCCATCACATGCAGATAGGACAGTTTACGTTCACGGTGTGGCCGACAAGCTCTGCATTGTGTAACCGATATTTATAAGGTTTTCTGTGATCATGCAATGCATGCAGCCAGTTAGAATCTTACATGGAAGTAGTTGAGCTAATTAGTAAAGAATCAATATACATAATTAAAAAAATATCATTATGTTTCATTAAATATAATAAACATTTAAAAAAATGAGAGCTGAATAATTGTTGACAGTTGTCTTTTAAATGTCCTCGTAGTTATTATATTTTATTCCACAGTGCTGTACATACAGACAAATGGATGATTGCGCCATAAATGTAAATATTAACTTTTTTATGGTTAATGGAGTGGCAATAAAGTGGTGAAATAAATTAAAATGGCAGGATTTTGGTGGAGACAGCGGTTTGGGAATGTTGGTTGGAAAAGCAATGAGTTGGAGAATAAGCAGTCAACTACACTGACAGCCGTGTTCATCATAGGGTTAACTGATGGCACAATTAAAAAATAATTATCAATAGGCAAAACATTACGATATTTCAGTGAAAAGATGTTGCTATACTCATGTGCCAATGGTGGTTTAAGGATTTAAGGGGTCTTGTCAGACATCAAAAAACAAACACAATAAAAATTTCACTAATGTAAAAGTGTATCAATCCAGGCAACTATCTAACCAAATCACCAGGATCAGACAAACAGAGACAGAATGGATCCATCTATGGGACGAGCTCAGGAAGAGGTGAGAGCAGGCGTTCTCTCAAAGAGGCTCAAAGATATAAACGCGTTTGAACTATTTTTATAGTAGGAGAAGTGGTTATGTAATAATACTATTAGCAATCTAGACCCGGGATAGCTCCTCTACCTGGTGCAACCTGAACTATGTCTAGCTACTAAAATGCTTGTACCACATGCGATATATACATAACCTTCTCTGATGTCTGATACTTTGCACTTTGTTTTTTATGCAACTCTTGTATCATTGCTATACTTGCTATGATGGATACCCTCCGATATGTCTCCTGTTGTTCTGAGACCAAAAAAAAAGTTTTAATTCTGGGGTAGCGGAATCCATCAACTTGTTTAAATGAGAGCACGAATCATGTCAATTACACAGGGTTTATATAGTCTATGAATTGGGTGTTCATTGAGGTGATACTGTGTTAAAATGAGAAAACGTAGCTGTTAATATCTGACCTAAAGTGGGCACGTCACTGATTGGAAAGGATATAAAGGGAGTGCTAGAACTGCTGTCTGTCAGTGAGTGCTTGTGTTGGAGAGATGGAGGGTAACAAATCAAGCGCTTGGATACAATGGATCAAAAATAGATATACCTAATCCAGAATATCAACTGAAAAACTCAACTGGGTTAGCGGGAATTTACACCAGACCCCGGGAATCATTCTTATACACCACAAACAATACCATTTGAAATAAACAAAGTCGAAAAAAACTAAACAAATAGATCATGCCTATTTTTTGCATGCGCACTACTCTTTATTAGTGACCAGACCAAGGAATGTCAGGAACAGGCTGACATGAAATTGCAATAAATGCTTCGGAAATAAATGCTTAGGGCAATACATGTGTTTGCAGAGGCATCAGTTGACTTGAATTATGATCTCACAGGGTCCTATGAGGCAACAAGTTTGGGGCCCCTACCTAGGGCCTAGGCTGCATTTACCCAAGGTCTCTGATTGTCTGATCCATGGCTAAGTCCCCTGAAATATTTGGAGCGGGTGATCATGTGCCTGTCAATCATCTGGAATAAGTGCGGGCAGCCATGGGTCGGTGTTACTGGTTGGGCTTCTCAAATCTACCCAGGGCGTCAGGTAGTGGAAAGTAAAACCATCTGCATACAGACGTCACGGGCAGGGTGCATTCAGTAATCAAAGGAATTAGCACGGCTCTGTGACCCCAAACATACCTTATCAATTCACCCTCCCCTCCTCTCTGTATCTGTTACTTTTTTTTTCCTTTGGGATATTTTACTTGTAAAATACAGAAAGTAAGGTAGGGACCACTTTGTCTTATGTATTTTTTCGCCTCTTGATAAATCTTGACAAACTGTTGCGCTTAGCACAAAGCTCCACTTGCTTTGTCAAGTCCTATTTTCACAGAATACATACCTGCTATCGCGTCCCTCGCCTCTGATCTATTGAAATTTCCTTCTTGATTTCCTTCGTCGAGCGTAGCGCATGCCCAGTACAATCGTCATCGCTTCTGGGTGCTGGGCATGTGCGGGCAGGCGGTGCGGAGAAAGGGCTGATGGAATGCAGTGACTGTATGTCACTACCAGACTTCGGAACATATTGGTGGGTTGGAAAGAGATCTGGCTCTACAGTTCAGGAAAAAAACACCCCAGTATATGTACATTTAATATATTTTATATTTATGCTTTATCAAGCTCACAACAGCTGAGACAGAAGATGCTACAACTGATAGTTTATCCCCTAGTATACGAGTGGGCAGTAAAAAAAATTAATCTAGTTTTTCTTTATGAGTGTGAAGTTGTTTTGATGACAAATAAGAAACCGTTTGCAGGTTATTGTCAGTCGAGCAATACAATTTATCTTTAGCTCGGTTTGGGAAACGCTTTTTTTTTAGGTAGTTGATGTGTGCAGCGTCAGTGGGATACACTAGGCTGATAATTACGTATTATTTCTGTAAATGTTTCAGTTGTATAAATACTGCACTTCCCAAATAACAAAATGTAAATTAGAAACTCACATTAGAAGTTGCTGTATCTGCAATAAACTCCCAGGATTTGTAATTACTGAATGTTAGCGCTGCCCAGACAGACCTGAACAGCCAATCAGAATGCTTTAATAATCTGCTATAGGACTTTTCAAAAAGCCGATTTTATCTCATAAACCTAAAACAATCCAGTGTACTTCAGGCACCCTGGGACAGGCCAAATGGAGAAAAAACCTTCAGGGGATTTCTGAAGGCTGAAAATAGGATATTAAAGAATATATACCTGGCTATGTACTAAAGTGATAATGCAGGTAAATTGAAAGTGAACTTCAAAGTCAAAGCAGTCAGACTGGAAGATTTGATTCCATAGAATCAGACTTTGATTTTTCCGGCCCGATAATTGACATATATTAGGTAATTTACAACATGCTAAGGATGAGTGGATTGTCAGAAAATACAATCCCAAAAATGTAATAAAAACGCCACAGGACAGCGTCACGGTACCACATAATAAATGGTCCAGCAGAAGATTTTGACTCAAAAAAGCATTTTATGGGAAAATTAATAAAATGACCAAATAATCCCATATACTAATGAATTACAAAAATATACACAAATGCCCACACGAATGTTGTAAATGTTTGAATGTCAGTTTGGAACAAATCTGGAATTATTAAAGGACCACTATAGTGCCAGGAAAACATACTCGTTTTCCTGGCACTATAGTGCCCTGAGGGTGCCCCCACCCTCAGGGTCCCCCTCCCGCCCGGCTCTGGAATGGGGAAAGGGGTAAAAACTTACCTTTTTCCAGCGCTGGGCAGAGAGCTCTCCTCCTCCGATCCGCCTCTTCGGCTGAATGCGCATGCGCGGCAAGAGCTGCGCGCGCATTCAGCCGGTCACATAGGAAAGCATTCGTAATGCTTTCCTATGGACGCTGGCGTGCTCTCACTGTGAAAATCACAGTGAGAAGCACGCAAGCGCCTCTAGTGGCTGTCAATGAGACAGCCACTAGAGGATTAGGGGGAAGGCTTAACCCATTCATAAACATAGCAGTTTCTCTGAAACTGCTATGTTTATGAAAAAATGGGTTAACCCTAGCTGGACCTGGCACCCAGACCACTTCATTAAGCTGAAGTGGTCTGGGTGCCTAGAGTGGTCCTTTAAGAGCAAATTTTACCATAAGTAAAAGAATATACTTACTGAATATTTTTTTACCATAATGTACAGGTGATACTCGAAAAATTAGAATATCGTGCAAAAGTTAATTTATTTCAGTAATGCAACATAAAAAGGGAAACTAATATATGAGATAGATGCATTACATGCAAAGCAAGATAGTTCAAGCCGTGATTTATCATAAGTGCAATGATTATGGCTTACGGCTCATGAAAACCCCAAATCCACAATCTCAGTAAATTAGAATATTACATGCAATCAATAAAACAAGGAGTGTACATAGAACAATATCAGACCTCTGAAAAGTATAAGCATGCATATGGACTCAGTACTTGGTTTGGAAGCTATAAGCCTGTGGCACTGCTGAGGTGTTATGGAAGACCAGGTTGCTTCAATAGCGGCCTTCAGCTCTTCTGCATTGTTCGGTCTCATGTCTCTCGTCTTTCTCTTGGCAATGCCCTATAGATTCTCTATGGGGTTCAGGTCAGGCCAGTTTGCTGGCCAATCAAGCACAGTAATCCCACGGTCATTGAATCAGGCGTTGGTGCTTTTGGCAGTGTGGGCAGATGCTGCTGGAAAATGAAGTCAGCATCCCTATAAAGCTCATCTGCGGAAGGAAGCATGAAGTGCTCCAAAATCTCCTGGTAGACGGCTGCGTTGACCCTGGACTTAATGAAGCACAGTGAACCAACACCAGCAGATGACATTGCTCCCCAAATCAACACAGACTGTGGAAACTTCTCACTGGACTTCAAGCATCTTGCAGTGTGTGTCTCTCCATTCTTCCTCCAGACTCTGGGTCCTTGGTTTCCAAATGAGATGCAAAAGTTGCTCTCATCAGAAAAGAGGACTTTGGACCACTGAGCAACAGACCAGGTCTGTTTTTCTTCAGCCCAGGTAAGATGCTTCTGACGTTTGTTGTTCAGGAGCGGCTTGACAAGAGGAATACGACATCTGAAGCCCATGTCCAGGATCCGTTTGTGTGTCGTGGCTCTTGATGCACTGACTCCAGCCTCAGTCCACTCCTTGTGAAAGTCTCCAACACTTTTGAATGGCCTTTTCCTGATAATCCTCTCCAGGCTGCGGTCATCCCTGCTGCTTGTGCACCTTTTTCTTCCACACTTTTCCCTTCCACATAATGTTCTATTAATGTGCTTTGATACAGCACTTTGGGAACATCCAACTTCCTTTGCAATTACCTTTTGAGGCTTCCCTCCTTATGGAGGGTGGCAATGATGGTTTTCTGCACAACTGTCAGGTCAGCAGTCTTCCCCATGATTGTGATTCCTACTGAACCAGACTGAGAGACCATTTAAAGGCTCAGAAACCCTTTGCAGGTGTTATGGCTTACTTAGCTGATTAGAGTGGGACACTGTGTGCCTAGGATATTGCACCTTTTCACAATATTCTAATTTACTGAGATTGTGGATTTGGGGTTTTCATGAGCTGTAAGCCATAATCATCGCACTTCTGACAAATCATGGCTTGAAGTATCTTGCTTTTCATGTAATGCGTCTATCTCATATATTAGTTTCCCCTTTTATATTGCATTACTGAAATAAATGAACTTTTGCACGATATTCTAATTTTTCGAGTATCACCTGTAGATACGAAGGATAAACTAAGGAGCATAATATCTGTAACGGATCGAGGCGTAATGAGAAAGAGTTACAATTTGCTGTTCCAGAAGGGAACTCGAACAGTTGGCCATGACGTACTTCTCAAAAGGTGGGAAATATAAACATAATAATGAGAAAGTATCAATGTAGCCATATACAAAGTGCACAGAACGTGTCCGGAATGTCACAGTTCCCGCCCTGACAGTGTAAATCAGATCATCACTGCAAAGCCGCCAACGGATCATGAAAATAAAATAATTTATTCACAATATGCAAACCAACAAGAGGTTGAATGGAATGGAGTTATCTCATATTAAATATATTCTGTTATCTTCACCAATGCTTCCATTTCCTATTTTGTTGGTTAATTAAATATTATTTTTTTATTTTTTTGTTGATGGAGAAGGAAACGTGCAGATATTTTTATTTACTTATCTGTTATATTAGACCAAAGGCTTCCTTTCAATACATGTTTTCTCTCTGCCCTTCCCTTCAATATTGCTTGTGATTCTAAACCTTTTAAATGAATCATTGAACCCATTGTTCAGTTGTAACATTAAATAAATTACTCGTATTCATAAACATAATAAAATTCTGTAAATACCTTCATTCATTTTGTTACGCAGTGCGGTTACTGTAACCACCTATTGTGGGGACAGGGCTGATAACTGAGGCGTTATACGTTCCAACCAATGAACACTCAGTGAATAAATTATGGAGACCCGGCTTTGCACCTGTGGTATTTCAGAAGAAAATTATGAATTTTCCTCAGTGTTTTATAAAAACGCAGTTTTTTGGTTGGAGTAACCTTTTAAGTCTCGGATTAATATTTATCTTTACAATAATGTGATATTTTGAAAGTTCTGATATTCTCTGTAGCTCCATAGACTGCGTTGTTTTGCTATCATACTTACTGTGAATGTGAGGGGCTCGTGGTCAGGTCTCCTGATGCTGGCTGTGGTGGTTCCAAAGGTTTTATGTCGTCTTCTATAACTGGAGGTGAATACGAGGGGAAACAATCCTCAAAGACCCATCCCAAGCTCTCCTGTAACATCAAGGAATGGAAACAAGGGAACGATATTATCTGTTTCATAAACCGACATTTCAGCTGCCTCTATAAGTCAAATCCTCGGTCAGTGAAGGTGGATCACTTATTGTACAGGGAGACTAAATGTTTGCATTTTGTACCTTGTGATAGTGTCAGTTTAACAATATGGGAGTCTCAGTGTGATGTGTCCTCCTCCGTGTAATGTATTCTAATGTAAGTGATCAGAATAACAAGACTAAAAATGGAAATAAACCGTTCGTGTTTATTCTTCCATTTAA